GTACAATGCATTTATCAATACCCTGTCAAAATCCAAAATGATAAAAGGGTAAGGCACCAAAACTCTCAAAAATCGTGAACCTCAGAAAAGGTAAAAAAGTATTCTTCACCTGGGATCCACCACTGTTTTTTCAAATACCACATGCTCCCAGCAGAAACCCCACAGATTTGAATGGAGAATGTCCCCACAGGTTATGGCCTTCAGCCTAACAAGAATGGTAGAATTATGTTTCACCTGGGAACTGGGGGCAGTATCAGTTCTTCCTTCATGCTTTATCTCTAATGGTCTAAAATCATAGGGTTTGGAGGCCTCTTTGTTTTGGGGCCCTCTGAGATGAATAAGATAGAAAAAAAGACAGATAAAATGATTGTGCAATGTATTAGATGATACAAACATGCCAACACCAAAAGAGGTACTACATATCAAGTACCACCACCACCTAGTCTCTGCACAAAAGAGGCAGTAAACTGGAACAAAGGAAAAAGAAAGGTCACAATCAAGCAAGTTAGACTAATACTATTGCCACAGCAATGGTTCTCATACCTCAAGAAGCCCAGAGGCTATCAGTTTACATCCAGATGTAGAAAGGCAACATGACTGCAAAGAAACTAAACCTGGCAGCTCAAAGTAGTCAAAGAACAGTCCCAGTTCTTCAGCAATTCTTTAGTGGCATCCACAGAGCCACTCTTTTAGGATGCAGAAACGTCCCTTCACAGGACACGGGAAGCCCTCGTGGAGAACACCAGCTACAGGGTTTGGTAATGCTGCTCTGACTCCTGTACACAGCCAGGGGAAGTTGTTGCTCTGTTGCCTCTCTTGCCTTTGAAATTGTTCCCTGTGATAAGCATTTCAAACCAACAATAACTGCACTGTGAACAATCATGACAAATATTTTCAGAAGGCAGTAAGAACACAAAATATATGGGGCACTAGAACACACAAAGCAGAAAGACATACAGCACCTTCAGACTATAGAGCAAATGCAGGGACAATATAAAGTACGTTGAAAAGCCTTATTTTCACTCACGCCTCTATCAAGCGGGTATTTGCTGCCTAAATGTATGCATCACATGATGAATAATTCTTGGTAGATCATGCCAAGTTTTCCCAAAGGCCTTCTTACCCATATGAAAGGCATCACAGACAACTAACATGCAAATTGCAGCCCCCTTATATGCAGCAGAAGAGCATATGCAATATACGGGTGGCTTTGCTCTAGTTCAGCCTTTTGTGCTTTCTCATTCATTGGGTTTTTTTGCTGCAGTCCTTTCTGCTGACCACTTGTACACTGATTCACCAAATCAGAAATCCCTTCAGCTCTCTCATTCTCAGTAGATATGTTGTAACACAGACATGCATAACTGATGACGGGACAGAAAAAAAGAAAAAGTGAAAACGAAACTTACACAATCGCAAAACCAGGAATTTCCAAATTTCAGGTTATTTCTGCAAGTCTTGGTTTAGTTGAGGTTTTTGCTAAAGCACTGGTTGTCCATTTGTGCAATTGTGACAAATACAGTTTTACAGGGGGCAAAGATGGTCAAGCTCAAAGCAAGGAAAAAAATGCTCCAAAGCTGTGAAACTCAAAGGATCAGGGCTAAAACACTAATTAAACTATTTTAATTGCTCAATTTAAAAAATGCATGTTTCTCCTGCAGTCTCATGAATATGAGAGTAAATTTGTGATTTCTCAATGCTTGAGGTTAGCAATACTTGCAAAAAGGCATGAACCCAATAAGCTGACCTGCTAGCCACAGGAGGAGAGGTTAAGTGGAAGAGTAAATAACCTGATGTCTGAGTTGAAACAGCAAGAAAAACTTAGTCTCAACAAGATTTCGACCCTGCTGACACTCCTTCTAACTTGCTCTCTCAAACTCTAGTGCAGTTGAGATCTGAATCTAAGGTTCACAGAGTCCAGCCTCCTACCTTCTGATGCCTTCTACCAAGTGGCAGATAAACCCAGCCTTATACTGTGGCTGAGTTAATGTGAAAGGGAAATATGTATCCTCCCTGTATGGGGAGCTTTCTCTTTAAGAGCCCCTGCTCTGGCTGTGGCAGTTCAGACTAACTAGAAATGCCAGCAACTACCCAGATGCATGACAGAGGAGCTGGGACTACTTCAGACAGCGCAGGGACAGTGGGATGTTATGATGAACTGTACTTCACTTACCTTATATTCATAAGCAAAGTGACACATGAATGCGAGATGCCAGATGGAGTAAGCTGACTGAAAGCAGACAAGATGGGTTTCAGATGGGACCTGTATTTATACAAGACTAGAAGCCAAAGGCAAAGAAACAGCAGAAAAACTGCACAGGACAAAAGCCTCACCATACATTCAATAAAATAGAGTTTCTTTCAGTCATCTTTACCTTGGCTTCCTTTGGCCAAGTCTGTAAAGCAGTGAGGCATCACACAAGGAATGCAGGTGTTCAGAGGGGCCCCTACAGATGCATGCAAGTATTTTAAGGTATAGCAAGGACTGGTGTTTTTGTAAGTCTGGTGCAGGGAGATGCACTATGTTCTTGTGTGATGCACTCAGCTCTCTGATTAGAGAGCACCAAGTCCAAGGGTAAAATATTGTTTTTCTCTTAGTATATGTAGCTCCAATTAACCTTATTGGAGCATTGTGGGTACACTGAGAAGATTACACTCCTTAATGTGCAGTTACAACTGTACTGTAAATGCAACATTTCATGCTTTCTATTATGGTTCAAGACCACTACGCTCTTCAAGACTGTTATAAACCTCAGAAAACAGGGGTTTATAATGGAAATGCTGAAACACTCAACTCTAAAAGCCCTGGCAGAGAGGAAATATAGTTATAAATTCAGCTTCTATTTTCCAGCATATACATTGGCAAGTTATGAATAATAGGTATTTCTACAGTTACAACAGACAGATGTACACACCGCTTAGGATAACCTTTGCTGTAAAAGTGGAGGATGGAAAGAGCTCAAAGTGGAAAGAGCAACCTTTCATCTTGTCTCTTACAGAGTTACTGCAATTGCAATAATGACATAAAGCCAGCAACTGAAATTTAGTAGTCTGTGCACCAGGGTTGGATTCTGAATGCATCTTTTTTAAAAAGGGTGGGTTATGTTTCTATGGTCAGCAAGAAAAAGGCACGAGCCCCACCCCAAGCCCCCTCAGCCTCCTTTGTTTTTTTAAAAAGAAATTGGCTATTTGGATACTGTTCAGATGACATTGCAAAGCAACCTGCTATCCAGTCATAAATGGATATTCTCTATATATTCTCTTCTATATGTAATCTGGTCCCTAGCTTCTTAACAGTACCAAGAAGTAATATTTCAACCAGCAATTACTGGACTTGCTAACGTAAAAAGCCCCCACTCTGTTTGGCAAGAGAAAGATGGGCAGGTAACTGTACTATGACTGGGCTGAGGCAATTGGGAATTTCTTCAGATATTAATAGCAATGGCAGAGGTGGGTCAATATAATCCCATTAGCCATATCACGCTGTTTGATTTCTGGTACGTATGAGGAAAGGAAAACAAAACCGACACAATTGCCATTTGGGAAGTATGCTGACGGGTAAACAGGAAAATCCATGCCTGTTTTAAACATTGCAGCCTGACAGGCCGATGTAGAAAGGTAGAGTAGGGAGGTCCATGTGTTTTGCTGGCACAGCCTTCACCACTAGAAGGGAGGGAAGAGAGGCACCCACCACCTGTTGTTGCTGCCTGCATGATGCTCGTTGCCACCACCATCATCCTCCTCCTCCAGCCCCTGCCCTGTCTCAAGGTTTTCAGTGGTTTCATGCCTCTCTGGAGACAGTCTTGCAGAGGTTCTCATACCCTGGCTTAAGTTGCCATAGGTACTGTCAGTGTACAGAGAAACATTCAAAGTTCAGCAAGGCTGCATGCCAGGTATGATCCCTGTTTTTTATATTAGTGCTGTTCACATTTGAGAAAGTTTCTTGAATATGTAGGGAACGCTTTCAGATTCAGATGCCTCCATAAGTTAGTTTCTATTACAAACATACTAGCAGTGCCACTAATACTGTAAACAGCAAGAACATCAAATACACCGTAGGTCTATGAGGTATATGAAAAACTTCCCATGGAAAGCAGCCCATGGGCCCTCCCCATTACAGCTGCTGGGATTTTTAAGGTGATGGACTAGTTTGTAGAAAGTTTAGCGCTTCTTACCAACACCTCTACCATTAGCTATAGCATCCTCGTTTTAGATCAGAGGGCACTGTGTTTAACATTTCTGCATGCCTGATTCATGGAGGACACCGGCTCATTAGCTTTCTGCTTTCTGCCTTTCCGTACGACAGCGCTCCTGCCGCCGAGGATGCACAAACCCAACACACCCAAAAGCCATATCTCCACATTGACCCAGAGCTGCCAAGGCTCTGAACAGGAAGTGAACTGCTTCATTGTCCAGACCTGTTCATTTCAGCATTTGGCAACATCTGCGGAGATCAACAGCAAAGCTACTTTACTGCCATTAAAATGCAATTCCCAGCAGAACTGAGAACTGCTTTTCACATCTTCTCTTGCGTGAGACCTTTTACTAGGACTAACTCCTGTCTTCACTTTCACCTTTTTTGTTTAAATAGGGTCTTGCATCGGTAGCCTTAACTAAAAACTCCCATTCTGCTCCCACAGTTTTCAGCCTGCCCACTGCTTGCTGTTTCACCCCAGAAGCAGTAGCTGAGAACCAGTGACCCTGACCATAAGTAATGCAAATTACTGTTTTGCAAAAATCTGTGGTCTTCAGAATAATTAGTAAATTATTCGTAGGAAAGGACCATTAGGGTATAACTGTGTCATTGAACCAAGCCTCTATGCATGGGGGATCTCACGTGCATTCAGCCATGGCAGGTGTGCAGAGCATCCTTTTGCAAGGTATTTCCCAAAACTCTCTGGCAAATTTACATTCAGGTGTAAGGACTAATAGCAAGGCTAGAATAGTTTCCCAGGCACCTGCTTGCCAGAGGATCACAGCCGAAATGTTCAGGAGTGTTTTACCTGGCCCATGAAGCACACAAAGCCATTTCTCCTCCTTGTGCTATGTTGACCACTGCTCTGTTTTATTAAGCAGCAGGATGAAATGGTAACATTTCCAAGGATTTTCACTGTAGTGATTTGAACAGCCTGAGACTTTCAGTTGCCTCCAGTTTAGCAAACAGCAGATACACTGGAAGAAGGAAATGTACACAGGCAGAGACGATTGCAGCCACTTATGCAAATTTGTATTTGGCTAATTCTCTCTACTAAGACCAAGAAAGTCAACTTAAGAGAAAAAAAAAATACTTAAAAAGCAAGCTTAAATTCAGCAAAAACCTGGATGTTATTCACTAGAGAAAGATTTCCACTTCTTGTAGGGAGTGGGATTTCCACCTCCACTTTTTCTATGATTGAATGATTAATTTATCCCACTAACCTTTGTCTAAAGGAGCCAACAGCCACACTTCTGCATGGCTGCAGGGGAGAATGACATCTCCACACAGCCGGTCCCACGCGCTGACAGTTCTGGCAGCCAACCCAAGCCCCGATGACTTCGCCCAACAAATGTGCCACGGGAACGACATGGCAACACCTCACAGCCAAAAGTACGGCGCGAGGAGGACTGGGGGGGACAACAGGATTTACGCCACCGCTCCTCCACCTACTCCACGGCAAGTACTAGGAGATCCTTACCTTTACAGGTCTCCCATGCCTCCTCCAGCGGTTCCTGGTTGGGCTGCCAGCAGGGAGCTGCCCTGCAACAGCCCGAGGGGAGCGGTGGGGCGCGGAGTCAGAGCTGCCTCCCACGGGACAGAGAGGTGCTTGGACAGGGGCCAGGCAGGGCCGAAGAACTACAACTCCCAGGAGGCCCCGCGCCTCTCTGCCCTGCTCCTCCTCGGCTGCCCCCCGACACGCCCTCTGGGGGTTGTAGTTCCAGTGCTGCCCCGCTCGCGCTCCCACCGACACGCTCTTGCTGGCAAGGGAGGCTTTGCGTGGCCGCAAAGGAAACTAACACTCTGAAACCTTTTAAATATATTTTTTTAAAGCTATATATATATGTGTGTGTGCTTTATATATATGTGTGTGTCATTTAAAAAAATAGCAAAACTCAGCAAGTATTTTTTACTACAGTAAGGGAAAAATGGGAAGTTACTGTACTTCCAATTCTCTTTTTGCTTCTGGTGGGGGTTTGCTTTGCTGTGAAGGGAGAGGGGAAAAAGTGAGAGGAAAAAAGCTCATAAGCAAGTATTGCCAAACAACTTTGCAAAATCAGATGGGAAAAACTTAAATGTTCCCATACACTAATTAGTTAATGACTGGCCTCAAGCTGACAAACGTGCTGATACTTAACTGTATCCTCCACTGAAGTGAATGCAATTGAATCTCATACTCCAGTTGTTCCAGAAACTCGAGGCCTCTAGAAATTATAAGCATGGCTTAGTAATGGTGAGATTTTAAAAGTAATTAAGGGCTTATCCACATTGGGAGTTGCTGCAGAGTACCTCCACTTGCAGAATTCCCCTTCCCTGTGCTGGACATGTATTTCACGCTAACAGTGCTTTATTCTGAATTAGTTTGCCCCATTCAGGCTTTCAGTTCAAAAGCTACCTTCGCCCAAATTGAGGGACTTACACAAGGTGAGCCTAAACTGCACGTTCTGTTTTTACCTTGTGGTTGAGCCTTTATTTAGGCATTTGTTCCCAAAAGCTGGGCATTTCTTTGGAAAACTAGATATGAAGTTTCTCACACAGTCACTGCTGTCCTGAATTTGGGAGATCAATAGGAACACTAAATGCCACAAGACTGACAAAAACCCCCTTTGGGAGCATGGCCCTATTTGCCTAACTGGGAATGTTTGTTTTTCTAACCTGGAGAGGAAGGCTGTGCAAAGGAGAGAAAGCCCTCCTTTCAGAGTAAAATCTGCTCTTAGTAATTAGCCCTTGTGGGTAGCAAGTATTAACAATGCTTCACAGAGAACATAAAATTCATAATCTGTCCAGAGTATAGCCAAAGCTTTAAAGTTTTGCCCAATTTTTATTAATTGCATATGCATAAAAAATGTCAACAATGTTAATGTGCAATGAGCCAGAGAAGTTCTTCCAAGACCACTAGGTATTAAGCCCGTGGATACACCAACCGGCCCTCTTTACTTGGGGTGAAGAGGAGGAGGAGAGCGAAAGGAGGTCCTAGATAATAGGAGATAATAATGCATGAGTGATGCAGAAGGTTTCAGTGTGGAGACAGGTGGTACCCATAAAGCTTCTACGCAGCATCACACCACAGCCATCTCTGTGCATTTGGATGACAATGCAAGACTTCCCAGATGAGGACAACGTGACACAGAGGCAGACACGGAGTCCTGCCAGAATTGCAGAGGAACCACTGCTCTGTGGCTTCTAGCTCTGAGACACAGCCCAGCTCTGCACGAGACTGAAGGGAAGCTGCAGGACTCCTGTGCCCAAGTCAATCCACTGAATGGCTTCTGGACTCCATTTGGCCCAGGGGAGGGTTTAGCTGCTTTGCAGAGCACTACAGCTCATCTTGTACTTCTAGAACAAGCACATGAACAGCATACTTAAGCCATAACCCGGATAAGCCTTCCAGGATAATTGAGATTCTACAGTATGTGACTTTTTAAAGTAAGTTTTCATAGACTTGCTAGAAAAATATGAGTTTTGACCTAGCACTTTTCATTCCAAGATTTCTGAATAATCTATTTTAATGCAGGTTTAGAAAAGAAAAAGAAGATGGGGGGAAAGAGTATGTTCCTTTGACTTCAGTTCAAGTCCAAGTGATAGAAGACCTATTAATCACCAGCATGCAATTTATATCAGAACATCAGAATGCCTGTATTTAAACAGACACATAGAAGAGCTGGAATGGATTACTTCCCAAGATCTTGTGGCATTAAGAGTGGCGTTATGCTTGCTTTCTTTTTTTGTTTTGAACTTTTGTTTTGTTTTGAACTCTTCTTTTGTTTTGACCGAGACAATATCTCTTACTGAAAAGGAGATGTAAGAGAACTGCTTTTGTGATTATTACTTATTCCAACAGGTATTTTGCTAGTTCCTGACTTGCATAACTACATACACCATGAATAAGTCTATTGAAACTGCTAAGGTCTGTCTAATGTTTTCATCTTCCTATTTCCCAGAACAAAAATGGTCTCAGTCATCTATTATTTGCAAGAATTCACAGATAATATCAGAATAAAGAGGAAGCGTGGATAATATAGCACAAGCCCCTCCTATTGTTTTGTTGGAGTAGGGAAATCCACTGGAGACTAAACTTTCTGTAAACATTGGTCTGATGCTGGCTGCCCTCCTTCCCTCCCTGAGGGGCTGGATGACGTGGGGAACCTCAGCCCACCCCATTCGCCTGACTGCCTGTAACTCAGAGCTGAAAGAGTTGCCATATGTAAGAGCCACAGCAGGATGAACATGCTTCTTTTCCCACATGGAAAAGAGAAGCAAAATCCAGGTGCAGATGATTTCCCAATAGCAGAAGGTAGGACAAGAGGAAAAAACATTTAAAGCCAATGGTGCCAGAGCTAAAAAATCCCACTGCCTTTCACAGGGGAGCTGCAACCAGCCTGCAACTCCTCGTGCAGAGAAGAGTGAGTCAAGTTTGCAATGCCATGCAGGCTCATACATAGCAAAAGCTTTCCATATTGCTTCCATATTTTGAAAAAGCCAGAGCTTTCCTCAGCACATTCTCTTAAACACCTAGTAGGCAAGGGAAAAATGGAGGCAGAGCCAAAACAATAACCCTGCAAACTGTTGAGCAGCAAAGCAGAGGTGCTTTCCCTGAACACCTTTCATAGCTGCACCGTGCTTTCCTGGGCACTTGCTGAGGCAGGAGCTGATCCTACCATCTCACTCTGTCCCCAGCAGTATCCCAGTCTGCCATGCAGCCTCAGCAGATTTGCAGGGTATTTCCACTGAGGTTTGACTGACCACAGGTGAGCAGTGATCAGATGGTAAATACCCAGCGTGCACAATACTTCATTTGTAACTTTGACAAGATGTTAGAGGCTAAAGTAGAGGGAAGTTCATGGGAGAGCAGTTCCTTGTCCTAGGATCCAAGAGTAAGGGTTGTTGTCCCTCCTGTGCCTGGGGAAGGCTCTGCTCTTCTCACCCTTGCCACTTGTGGCAGATGAAATGAAGACATGGACAGAATCTGGGCCGAGGGGGAGGACAGGAGGGGCTGGATCCCAGCGGGCAAACGGCAGAGGCTCCACATTGTTCTTGCCAGCAGATGGAGCAGGGCTGGCATGGGAAGAGTGTGCTGTAGAAGTGGGAGGCCCTCCTGCCTCCATCCCTGCCTGCCCCTCTCCTAGGAGGAGCTTCTTTTACCCTAGACGGATCTACCCTTTCCTGCAGGAGGTCTTTCTCATTCCCCCTCCTGGCCAGCTGATCCATTCCAAAGGTGTCTCTCGATGAAGGTAAACTTCTTCCAGGGCTGCCTCCCTGCACCAATGCCTGCAGAAAGCTGAATCCAGCAATAAGGGCTGATGACTATAAAAGCATCTATCCCTGCTTCTCCAGTGGTGTGTGCATGTCCATTCACTCATGTCCACAGGCACTCACCCTTTTGTTCTCTAGCTGTGGACTACCTTGAGCTGACAGAGACCTTCCACATACCTGTGACCACCCTCCATTTCTCCTAAACTGGTTCAGTATCATTGTCTCTAGCTGTCAGATGGGTTATTTTCCACTCTTATTTCTGTTTCTGCTGAGTTTAAGCCAGGATCAACATGAAAGATGGATATGTTCATGTCAGGTCAGCAAATTAAACCTAGTGAGCTAAGAATAACCAGATTTCAAAGGTGAAAAAACAGAGATAGGGTGGAAATGGAGAAGTACTATTTTGCTGCTTAGCCCTAGACATGGGAATGAAAAAAACCCAAATGTAACCCACCCCCTCACAACCTCTTGCCTTACAGCCCTTTAACTCCTCCACGGGTAACAGGCCTCCTCATGGTGAAGCTGTTCATGGAATGAGGCAGTCCAGGGCATGAGAAGGGACAAGGAGGCTCTGATACCTCCTGGGTGGGCAGCGATCAGTGGGCATTATACTCAGCCAGCTGTAGTGCTACTACTGTGGGCACCATTCAATGCAAATGAAAAGATAAGGATAAAATGTACAGAATAAATACTGTCTGGTTTGCAGAGGGAGACATTTGCAGGTAACTCCAATATTTATGCCACATTCTTCCTGCTTTTGCCTTTTGATTTTCATTATTCTGCTTTTTGGAGTCAATACATTCTACTTCCTCAAAAGAGCTGGAATATTTTCTTCTCTTTTTTTTTTCTTAGTATTTTTAAAAAGCAGCTCTTTTGTTTATGTCATATATACAATCTTCACCATCATTAAGTAAGACATCACCTGGTGTTATGCCCACAGGGACAAATACAAGCTTTGTAAATAGAAAAGTACATCAGTGTCTTATTTGCTTTAGAGTAGACTACACATTTAAAGCCAAAAGGTAGTTGTGTAGTCCTGTTATGTTCCAAAACTGCCATTCTGGTGTCATTTATTTTAGTCTGCTGCAAAATAAAATAGAGATGATTGAAAATCCTAAAGCTCATACCTGAGAAAGGACAGCAAGAAATCAGCACAGATTGTATTCTTTCTTACATTTATTTGAGGGGCAGATAGAGACCCTGCTGCAGAAAATACCTTTGACATAGATGTTTGAATGATCTGCTACATAGACAATAAAGAATAACATTTTATAAGCTTTTTATGGGGTATTAAAAATCTGAAGTGGCCAAGTTTTCTAATGGGAAAAGCAAA